GGATAATATTGGAATAGACTTTGCAATACATGTTGTGGCAATTAATACAAAACTATTATAGCATTGTTTACAATTAAATAGCAATTAAGTCTCATTAAAGTTAATGGAATTAAATGAGACATTTATATCAATGATGCATAACATTGATTATTGAAAGTGCACTCATTGTAATGCAAATCTCATGTTATGTTTGCAGGCGTTTATCTGACAGCAGTGATGGGCATTACATCCGTATCCATAATAATGACAGTAATTGTATTGAACTTCCACTATAGGGGTCCCATTAAAAAGGAAATGCCCGACTGGCTCAAGAGATTAATATTAAACAAGCAAATTTATAATCAATACTACAAAAACAATCAAAACTCACACATTAAGGGACAAAATGTAAGCTATTTTTAACACTTCTTTGCACTAAATAGTGAAAAATAATATACTATATAATATTTTGATTTAATTGACATATTTTATAAATACTGAATAACACAACTGAGGCCAACATTAAAATTATTTATCCACTAAAATGAAAGGACATTCATTAGACATTATAAACTAAAAAATTCTAAGTTCTCAAACTAATTGTATTGAAGTGAATATCTATTTTACAATATTGTACAAATAAGTAACGAAGTATTTTTTTTAAATATATTAAATACTTTACACACTTTTCTCTAATTTTAAAAAAATAATTGAAAATATCATCTCAAATGTTAAAAGTTGTTTCAAATAAATATTTTTAAAGATATTATTTTAATAAATATTTAATTAATTAAGAATCCAAAGAATAAAGTTGTAAAAATAATAACAAAATTGAGTCAAAATATTATAATATTAGCAATATTGTACATACACTGAATACAATGAATACAAAATTGAAACAAAATAGAAAAGAGAAATAATTGAAACAATTTGTGCACAAAAAGTTAATTAAGAGTTTGTTTCATACAATTAAAGCAGTCTTCGAGCACATGGAATACCACGTCATCCTCCTGTCCCTACAGTTCCCATCTTTACAACACGTACAGCACCTATAATTCGGCCAAACATTCCTCACAATCATCGCAACTAAGGCCTCAACTCATTAGGACAGCGACCGATGCCCTCCTCAGAGAGATTGTCAACGAAAGGCCCGTCTCTTATGTGGACGACCACCACATCGACACCACTCTCGACTGTGAAGTCAACCCAACACTCCATACCATTGGCCACAGACTTATGTGTGATAACATTGCAAACAATTTAAGTAATAGTAGCAACAGTGCTAACATTGGTAACCAACATATTATAAGGGGTATGAAATCAAAGGTGAGGCGTCCCACACGTCCCACACGTCCCACACAAGCCACAGACCACACAAAAGCCAATACCACTGAAACTAGTCCAGAGATGGCCAACCAATCATCGTATGAAGAGTTGACACAAATTCTCAATTATTTGTTGTGGAGACAAGAGATCGAAGACAATTACAACCGAATGGTTCACGAGTGGAGACTATTAGCTCTGGTCATCGATAAAGTCTTGTTTTGGGTTTTCTTCGTCATTACCCTCTTGTCTTCGCTTTCATTCCTCGTTATTATACCCATTCAGAGAAGAGGCTTTCCCTTCTAAACCTTCTCATCTATACTATAATATACACTACAGTACAGTGACTTCATGTTACAACATTCATCATCATTCTGACCAAATATTTACCTGATATTTATTACCCATCCTATTTTCATATACATCAATCATATATTTACAATGTACTAACTAACCACTTACAATTAGCATAATTCACACCTATCTATTTATATTTATTAAAATCAAATTATTTACACAGTTAATAATTAATATTATACAGGGATATTACTAATAGGTCTAAATGTTTGATTCGTATAAAGTAACCATATTTTAATTTGAGACCTTGTTAAAATGTTTAATCAAAAATATTATTATTATTCTGTATTTTATAATTTAATATATAAATACACAATAATATTTTAAATATTATAATAAACATATGGTTCATTTATCATTTAATATGTATCTAATCACTGAATGAGAGAGATGGTCAGCAAGAACATTTTAATTAATAAATACGTGGGAAATACAATGTTTTACTGACCAAAAGCCCAACTTTTACTATTTGTCATTCTAAACTCTGGAAATAGTTGGCGATACAATTAGCAAAGTTACCTCTATTACAAAATAAAATATATAATACATAGAACAGGCCACGGTAGTCTTTTTCTCACAAGTTAGTAACCTATTTTTTTTATTTAGATTTGATACCGCCTACTACGATGTTTATATTCATGATATTTGCACAAGTAAATTGCAATTTTATAACTTGATACAATATATCATATTTTTATTAAACCATTATACTGGAGTAGACCGTATTCTATGACTAAGAGATATGACTTAAATGTCTATAAGAAAATATAACAAATATTTAAAAATGTAATTTATTTAGTGATAAAACTTAAATATAGACTCTATATTATGAAGTTATAGAGTATTTTATAATTTTTAAAAATGTAAATATCTGTGTTGGGAAAATAAACCCAGACT